TAAAATATTTTGAATGGTTTGACGGCCGCGAAGCTAGGCATATCGGAGGAAAAGTGACGTTTCAATTCTGACAGTTAGAACGTATTATTTAACCAATGTACGGTGGCGAATTATTGACATTTGTGTGTGTAATTGTACGCGTGAATAAATGTTTGTTTGATCTGCATTTAGTAAGTTTGAATGTTTTTCAACCGGCGCGCGGAAGAAAAATTAGTGGTGAACAATAAAGACAATAGAGTGTTTATGTCTCGGAACTATCGGTCTAATAGTTCCTCAACAAGAAACACTCTATTGTTTAAATAGAGCATCCGCTCGGACTCCTGAACTGATCAGTCAGACGATACGCACTATGTTCATTATGTTATAAAAATCATTACGTCCTCTTTCATCAATACCATACAACATGAAAATGATCAAAAGCTAATGAAAAAGGTATAAAATTAAACGCGAGGAAATCTTATAATTATTATACAATTCTAAGAGAGGAATCCATATATTTCCCTTTTTATTATCTAATCTTTTCATACCTATTTTCATATTTTTATTTGCTGCTTTCCATTCCAAAACTGTGAATCTCGGTTTGCGTATATACGTAATTCCCTCTCCAATCCATTCTTTCTTTCAGAATCAGTGTATGTAACGAGCTGGATAATAACAAACGTTGCGTATTTTCAAAGATGAAAGGAGGGTGTTGAAGGTCATTTTTCCTTCAGGAATTTTAAAATCTGGCTCTTTTTAAATTACAACTTCTCAAAAGAAAATTGTCCTTAAATAATGATCATAGTGTCACGGGAAAATTTAGCGATTTTTTTTGTGTGGATGTTTAAGAATATTTATTCGTTGTTTTCGGTATTCTAGCCGTTCTCAATTCACGCGAATTTCTTTCATTGTGATATTTTATTAAAGATAAAAAGCTGTGTACTGGTGTCCAAAACATTCACGTTACGTTATGATTTTTGCAGTAACTTAATGCATGTTCTAGTTCACTCGACTTCTCTACAATTAAATTTATTAAAATGTTTACTGTATGAATAGAAAAAACAGTAAAAACAAGTTTTACTTTATTTCCGATCCTTTGTTTTCAAGTCTCGATAACTTGCGCTTCCGATAATTCGAACCTTTTTCAAATTCCCCTGATGGTTCGAGTTGTCAAGATTCGATTGTAATTTCTATCGAGGTTAACAATTATTTTTTTTTAAAGAAATTCTGACAGCGGTTCGAATTTGATTACGAAGTAAATGAAACTTACCCGTACACAGCTTATATTAACCACTATTTTCCGAAGAGAATGTGTCTGGTGCTAGTGGTGGATGTTTGCCGAGCCGCGAAACGGTAAGGTAACTATCCACCACTATCTACCGACACTACATAGTATAGGGGTGAGATTATATACCACAAAAAGACGATTTTTAACGCTTTTATTCCTTTAACGATTAGGATATTTTCCGCTAATTGCTCGGACGTGACTAGCAAAGGACTTTCAGAGTTTAAACATCCGCCAATCAGAGCGCGCCATCAGTGCTATCCACGGTTTTATTATACACAAAAAACTATTACTTGTGAAACGAACTGATCATACTATGGCAGGCGACTGGGGATAACGATAGGTTCCTGTATCCATTTATCTTTCTTTTATAATCATTACAAAAATTGATTACATCTACGATCTAAAACCTAAAACAGTTCATGAATCACAATGTTATGACATTTTTATATGATAAAGAAAAAATTGACTGAAAGTTAACGTGTGACTTAAAAATTCTGCAGTTGGCGATAAAAATAACGATTCTTCAAAATTCCATACAAAAAAGTAGGTGGGGCTGAGGAGGAGTACCAGATCGAGTAAATGTGACAGCAAAGAGTAATAAGGGCTGCCAAAGCTTAAGTCTGCTAACTACCTGTGATTATCATCAGTTTCTGAAGTATGAAGCGAGTGGGATAGGATGCTAGTCTGGATGGTATTTCAGCCCATTTCAGGGTTATTCTGATTGTTTACCGTTACCATCCTTTCCATTTTCCATCCTTCTAGGCCTTTGATCCCCTGATTTTGAAATATTCATCTATCCAAACCATGCAGTTAAAACAAACGTCAAAGCATTCTGAACCAATGTCGAGATCAAACTCGCCCTAAGAAAAACCTGTACAACTGCAAACAGAACTAGCATAAACAACACAAATGCAGATAGGACGGCTAGGACGAGCAAGAGAGACATTAGAAATACAAATCTTATTCCGCATATTTTAAGGCCTCCAGCGGTGGAATAAACATTATACAGCTCCGAATATAAGAAGAAAAATATAGCGCAAACGGAAATAACAGCCACCAAAACTGTAAAACCCTAAAATGGTTCTGTTATTATACCAAGCAAAATCCACAGCAAATGTTGACACGCCATGAATACTGCCGGATAAAGTACAAAACACGAGAAAAAGTTCTTGGTAGTCAAAGTCCGGAAAGTCTCCCGATAAAAAGGACTGAAGAAAGAAGCGTAGCTGCTGCAATCTTGTTCCGATTATTCCCTTCGTGCCATGACTGCTGCTTCACTATTGTCCATTGTGATGAAAAAGTACTCACGACAATGCTGATAAACAATGAACTCCTCTACAAAACCATGCGCTAATTATCTTAACCTCAGAAAAGTGTGGAGCTGTCCCATTAGCTTCAATCGCGCGCTTAACCGTGTTCAATCTCGGATCAGAAACTGATGGAATGACTGCTTTAATTCTTATATACTGTTTCCCTAAAACTTTGGGAGGAAAATTGGCGTAAGGCCGGCTAAAAGTGATCCACTTGAGCATGCGTGACGTTTGACTGCTGCGATTTTTCCAGGGCTTTTCGTGTACCTATGAAACACAATTTCTCTTGTATTACTTTCAGCTATTACCGAAAACAATCTTCCTTGTTCACTATGGAAGTCGAACACTTGTGAAAGAGAGAAAACATAAGCTATACTACACGATCAAGATACGCCACTAAGCTTTGATTTAGTCTTTTCAGTTGGTGATTAAGCAGCCCTCATAGAAGCGCTCGATTAATTTGGCTGGTTATATTCAGGCTTTGCCGGAGCCACGACACATCTTCGAGATGCTTTTATTTTTTCTTAGTCTTGAACGTATATTTGAAAAAGACTGAAAGCTTGAAACGTTTTGAATTCACGTCCAAAGCTCAACAGCCCTATCGAATTTGATCGATCTCGTGAGCTACAAAAGGCTCGAAATGGATGGAGCTCAAGTTATCAAGTCTTGCACTATCATACAGTTAAAATTGAGATTTTTTTTTACTTTGTTTCTTTAACTACAGTTATGTAGTCATCTCGTTTAGCTCGGAGGTATACCATTATCAGTTTTTACGCAAGATTTAATAATGTCAGTCACCTTAAGAACGCCCGGAGAGCTTCGCGTTGCTTTGTAGACCTTTTGTAGACTTTGTTGGATTTCGGCGAGTTATTTTTCTATGTATACCATTGTTAGATTTCCAATTGCTGGCGCTTCAGTCTATCCCAAAACTGTGAATCTTGTTTGCGTATTTCGTTCTCTAATCCAGTCTTTCTTTTAGTTTGTGCGTGTAACGAGTAAACATAACAGGAGGGAGTGAAAGCTCTAACATAACATAACATTTATTCAGGAAGCTACAACGCAAATGTGAAAAATACATCCTGAAAAGGGAAAATCGTGAGGTTAGCCCTGTATGAAAACAATTTCCCTGACTAAAAACACACGAAAGATAAAATAGTGGCTACAGATTCAATAAATATTCAATATTTATTCAACTAAATTTTAAGTCTACTCTTAAAGACAGACAATGATTCGGCGTGGACAATGTATCCTGGCAAGCTATTTCATTTCTCCACAATGCGAATGAAGAAAGAATATTTGTAACAATTACAAACTGCTCTTTTCAGGTAAAGTTTATAGTCGTGGTTAGCTCTTGTACGCTTATTGGCAAACACAAAGAAATCTGGGAAAGAGAGGTGATCGATACCAAAAACTACCTTATAAACCATCTTATGAACCAGAGATAGAAATTCTCTCCGCTTTTCTAGTGTTTGCCATTATAGTAAGCTACAACGGTGTTCGTAATTCATTTCGCCTCGTTTCTGCCCTTAAAGCTAGTCGCGAAGCTCTTCGTTGAACCGTTTCTAGAGCCGTAATATCCTTAATCAAATACGGACTCCAAACAGGAGCCGCATACTCCAGTATGGGCCTGGCCAGTGACTTATAGAGCTGCGAAAACACGTACCGCTTTATGATACCTAGTACCATATTTGCCTTGTTTACCGTTGCAGATACATGCATGCCCCAGGACACGTCTGAAGAGATGGTTACTCCAAGGTCCTTAATGTTCTCTACCGACCCAACTTGTCCCCCCAGCGAGTAAATTGGTTTAGTTTTATCCTTTCTATGTGTAATACGCATGACCTCGTATTTATCCGGATTGAAGTGCATCTGCCATTTGGCCATATGCTCAATCGATCTAGGTCACTCTGCAGAGCAGGGATATCAACATCTGGCGAACTGATAGTCCTCTTGTTTTATTCTTTTTATATCAAGAACATTAAAACGATATATCTAGCGCCGTTTGAATTACAACTTCTAAAGAGAAAACAATCTTTAGATAATGATCGTACGTGTAGCTATTCGGGTTACTTATATGCAGACTTGATACTAGACCTGAAAGGGTGTTCTAAATTCAATTTTCCGCGGGTATGGAGTGGGAAAAATACATTCCAAATCAGTATAATTGCTCCGGTGATTATAAAGATGCACACCCTCTGATTGGTCGAGGACTAAATAGTCCTGTCGTAAATTTCTTCCAGTCATCGGAAGAATGAAATAGTTTTCCTTGAGTTTCACAATTGCATTTTTTAAGAATAAAATCCCCCTTTGACTAGTCGAAATTGACTCAGCAGAGAAGAATTCTACCCATAGAAACCCTACAATAATTTGTAAAACAAACTTGTTATACTAGGTCAGGCGACTAGCTGATGATAGCAAAAAGCTCTTTGTATCTTTCTTTTATTATCGGTTTAAAATTGACTACAGTTACAATCTAAAAACTAAAATCAGTTCATGAATCACAACACTAGTAAATTACAACCAATACAAACTAACTGAAAGTTAGGGTGTGACTCGAGAACTCCGCAGTGATTGATCTACAGTTCTACATTCATGATTAAGCTGCTAAAATAAAACTTCCTCAGTATTCATTTTAAAAGTTAGACGGAAATGAAGGAGGAGAACACGAATAAAGGGTTTTTTTAAAGCTACTTTGAATCCTGTTTCCTAATGAATAAAGAGTGATAAGGGAGTAGGTTAAGTCAGCTAACTTCGCGTACCTGTGCTTATCATTAGTTTCTAAAGCATCGAGCCACTAAGATGATGATAGGATAATGGTGGGTCATCCCCCGCTCCTATTTTTTCAGGTTTCCCTTTAGTTGGCCGGTATTCATTCTGCGTTCCTACGTGGAGAGAAGAGCTAAAAGCCAGGGTTCAGGATGCTTTCGGAAGCAAGCTTATGCCGCTCTCTTCTCCACCTCCCGAACGATTAGTTCGTTCCTCTTCTCCACCTCCTGAACGATTATTTTGTTTTGCTACTTTCTCATGAACTCCTCCTTTGACACTCAAACATCCAAACCATGCAGTTACAACAAACGTCAAAATGGTTTGAACCAATGTAGAAATCAAACTCTCGCTTAGAAAAACCTGTGCGACTGCAAACAAAATTAGCAACAATAACACAAACGCAGACACCATGGCAAAGGCAAGAATACAAGACATGATAATCACAAAATTGCCTTGGTCAGCACTAGGCTCTTCTGATGCTTCATCATACCTAGCTTCGCCAAAATTATTGGGCTCGGATTCTTCATCATGCTTAGGAGGGAAAAAAACATCATAGAGCTCGGAAACTAGGAAGAAAAAAATTGCGAAAACAGCAATAACAGCCACTAAAATTGTAAAACCCCAAAATGGTTCTGTTATTATACCAAGCAAAATCCATAGCAAGTGATGACATGCCATGAATATTGCTGGATAAAGAAAAACACAAGAATATGGGTTTCTGCTAGTCAAGTATCCATGACCATTGGTTAGGTCTCGGTAAGGACTCTTAAGGCATGCATAAATATTCAAATTGTTTTTCCTGTATATGTGGGCACACCATGCTACTCGTCGGAAAAGCACAAACAATGTCCACCCCAAAAACACTCCGACACAACAATCTTTAGTTTTTGCAAGTGCCCAAATGTTTACAGTAAGTCCCCCCAAAAAGATTAATACAGATGAAATCATTACTGTTGCAGTTTTGTTCCAAATTTTCTCTTTGTTCCATGTTCTCAGCTTCTTTATCACCCACTGCGATGAAAAAGTACTCACGACAAAGCTTATATAGAGCAAAACCCAACACAAAGAGCGCAGAAGTTTCTTCAGCCCAGGAAAATGTGGAGCCTTCTCATGATCTGGAATGACGCACTCAACTGTGTTCCGAGTTGGATCGAAAACGAGTGGACTGACCGCTAAATCCTGCAACTACAAAGCAATAATCAAAATCATTATTGTATCGACACAAACGTTTCACTGTAAAATACAATTCATTGCAAACTACATCCGAGACCCGATGTAGTAAGAATATGAATGTTGTCACTTGCCGCCTATGCGCTGTTTTTTTTTTCTTTCTATCTTAGTTTCTTTTTTTTTTTTTTCGAAAATAGTCTGTGAAGAAGGGGAAATAACTTTTTTAAGTTCTCTAAAGCTGCTGTAGAACCCTTCCCTAGGGAGCAAGCAATAGGACAAAAATTAAAAGGAACAGCTAACGCACATGGAGGAATTCTGAAGGCATATGGAGATAAAAATATCTGGAACAGAAGAGAGACTTTTTCGCTGTACCTGAAGGATAAAAACTGATATATAAGTAAAAGAATAGAAAAGGCTTTTTTTGTATCCCTACTAAATGGAAAAAGTAGGAGAGAGGGGGGATACTTTTAAGACATTTTTGCTTAAAGAGTGGGCGCTTGTACGGAGGAGGGCGCTTATTCGGGGTGTGGAAGCTTATTCGGGGTGGGGACGCTTATTCTAGCGTGGGGTATTATTCGAGCATGGGCGCTTATTCAAGGCAATACGGTAAATCAAAGACCGCAAACTGCAGTTGCCCTAAGGGCTCGTGCAATTTGATTAACCTTTGGAAAAAATTCACTCGTGCTGATTTATTCCAAATTGCACTCGAATTCATGGATTACCTATAGTAACTGTTGTGCCGCTGAGGACAAGTCAAACAATTGCTGATCAGAGCAATTTTCAATTGAGATAACTCCTCAGAAAAAAAAAAGTTATCGAACAATGTCTTTCAAACTGTCCTTAAATGTTAGCTACCAATGTCTGTTTCGAAAAATAAAATAATAAAAAAAGGGTACCGTGTTTGTTTAAGGGATATGATAGGTCAAACTTACCCCATTTACAAAGGGGGTAAGTTTCTAAAGAAACTGTGGTGCTGCGTCGGTAGGGACCCCATTTATGCTTGTCCCAGCACTAATCACGCCCGTCATTTCATCAGTTCACGGTAAATTTTACGGTTGCTGGAAGAAAGTATTTTTTAAGTAACTTGAAAAAAAACTTGATCGGTAGACAGTCTGGTGCGTTTGGGACACTTTGGTATATGATTTGAGGAAAAATCACGCAATATTAAACTTCATCAACTGTAAACGTTCCTAGAGTAGTTTCTTTGAAGGTCATAATTTGCATCCTCGAGTAACGAGCTTCGTGCACGCTTTCAGCTTTTAATTCTGAAAGAATTATTTGGCAGGGATCTAACGGACGACCATTTTATTTCTACCATTGTCAATTTGTCGTCGTTGAAGTTTGTTATTGATAGGTTGGCACACAGAGGGGTGAATGGGCTGAGTCATTGCAAAGATTTAAAAGGCCTCTAAGTAAACCTTGAAACATTTATATCATAGGTATCGATCACAATCTGAGATTAAAACATCACTTTTCTGCGAAGACATGTCACCATTATCAAATGCAAATTATTATAAGTTCAGTGACGTTATATAAGGAAAGGAAATTGGAAAATTGATCACGATAGCCATGGCAACATCCACTTATCGTAGAAAACTGGGGAACTTCCAAGAAGGGAATTTTTTACTTTAGATTTTCCCCAAATGTTTTTTTGTTTTCTTTCGGAAATTGTAATGGTTAGGATTAATTGGTAATCATATTCGTGATTGACAAATCGGACTCCCGCTTCGCGGCCGTCTGATTTTGTTTATCAGTCATCACTCGGTCGTATTACCATTATTAATCATGACGCGTTATCACACAATCTTTGCAGAAAAACCGCCTCCCGGTTAGCTCAATGGATAGAGCGCTGGACTGTTGTGCGGGAGGTCGAGGGTTCGAGCCCTGGCCGGACCAACACTCAAGGTCTTAAAATAATTGAGAAGAATTTGCTACCTTTCTATAACATCAAGAAATGGTTAGATATTCTAGTCTTCTCGGATAGGGACGAATAAATGGAGGTCCCGTCTCCTGCAGGGTTGGGGTAGGAGACGTTAATTTCCCACACACGAGATTACTGTGTGATGGATGTCCTCCCCTGGGGTGGGATGGGTGGGATATAGGGCGCACTTAAT